ATAAGCTTTTGTACCCGTGGGGACCACAATTGAGGTCCCCACCGTGACATGAGTCCCCATGAGTCTGTGTGTATTCAGGTTTAAGTCCCCACCAGAATAGAAAAACAGGTACACACATCACACACACACACACACACACACACACATACAAAACGGCATTTCAACAACCAAACCTTATAATCACAAACATATCCTGCAGCTTTAAGAATACTGTGTTTGCTTCTCAACCTGCTTAGCTAATGGCTAAAGATGTCACTAGCTGATGTGTAGAGTATTAGGGTCACCTTAGGGCAGCCAAGCCTCATAATCTCAGTGTTAAGAAAGACAGGCTTTATAGGGACAGGTTGAAAGGTGTGGGTGTTTGTAAAAAAGGAGGGAGTGCTGTTTTTGTTATTTCTTTGTATAAATGGAGTTTATATTACTTATGCTGCCATTTTTGTGGTAAAATCTGGAGAGGAATTCTAAACACTGACTACATTTATTCTAGCTTGTTTATTAGCAAATGTTTGAGAAAGAGATATTTATTTATTTATTTTTTATTTATTTATTTATTTAAACATGAATTGTTGAATGAATTAATTGTTTAAGTGCTACTTAAGTTCTTTAAGTTACTTTACATTGTTATTGATTTGAAATGCTGAAAGGCATTCAATATTACATTAAAAACAAGAGTGGATTGTAAATGAGATGCACAAGCAAAATGAAAACTCTGACATTAAATATAAAATTGATTTAGACTTGGAATAAAATAAGCTCACACACACACACACACACACACACACATGGTTTCACTGTATTAATGAGGACATCTCATCAAGTGAGGACCACTTTGTGGGTGTTTGACGTTTCACTCTATTTTTGAAGACATTTCCCAAAATTTTGGCACTCGAGTATAGCCAAACCTGTATATGCGCGCACACATTCTGTCAAGTCAATCCACACTGAATGATTTCATTTTACTGGAAAGCATTTCAGTCATGTGTGAGTAAGAAGGTTATTCTACAGGCTATTTTCTCTTTGGGCTGTGGTGACCCTGTCGTAATGAAGAGCTACGTTTGTTTCCCTCAAGTCTTCACCTTTGACCTATGAGAAATATTTTGTCCTCTGTTAGCTAGACCTTGTCACTTCCTTTGGTTTATCAAATGCTCTTTCCTTAATGTCTTACAGACTACAGTATGTCAAAAAAGTAAGAATAACATCTCCCACAGTGCTTTGGGTATAATATAAACACACAAAATCTATATTTTCCTCATGCACATGTTGTTCATTACTGTACCTTTATAATTATACAATAATTTCCACTTCAAACACTGTCTTTAGGAGAACTGATATCTAACCCTTAAAAAAAGAGTTTCAGGTTTTGTTCAGGGTTCTCAAAAAGTCTGAAATGTCACACACAGTCGGTAAAGGTTCATACCATAAATCCACAATAATGATGACAGCAGTAATGTTCTCTGTTTTTGTGTGTCAGAAAGGGAGATAACACAGAATACAAACTTGATATCAGCTCAGAGATACTTGATTTTTCAATGCTTAGGAAAATATAGGAATTATCACTATAGCAACAAATGTAATAAAAATACCAGAGGAAGATGTTTTACAATTAAACATTTAGAGAGATTGATTCCTTTCTATAAAAACATTGGGCCTTTTTTATGAAACACACAGCATTTTTGTGTAAATTGTATTTAAACCCATTTGTGTGTAAATCTACCTATTGATTTAAATGCAAAAAATGTATAAATATTAAACAATTCTGTGCATTTTTCATGAATAAAACCCACTGTGAGTTGTTTATAGAACTTTATACAGTTAACAGTAAAAATACAGTACATTTGTCCCAAAAGTGTTGCATAACAAAGTGTTGTGTAAAATACTGTAGTTAAAAATAGAAAATTATAGGACTTGCCAGCATTTTGAACTAACTACCTAACTATGCTCTCTGTCCCAGCACTCAGTATTACCTTTACAATCTCATTTGGCTGGTGCCACTATAGAGTCTTAACAGGTAATGTGTGGACTTGTCCTCAAGTGGACTATCCATTCTGAGAAGTGTCTTTGAGAATGGCCTAGAAGCTACTTGCCTATGATGCCTTACATAATACCTTATATTATTACAGCATTTCAACATGCAAAAGCCTTTTCTGCGACCATCCAAGGCAATTTGGCACCGTTTTTTTGGTAAAAGTACATCATTATCTGTAGGGGTACCCAAGACGCAGATGAGAGCTTTCACTATAACTGAACTGTGTTTGAATGCTTCCTAAAAGTGGATAGCGAGTTTGATTTTCCTAGTCAGGGGAAGAATAGAGGAGTGGGGGTGGTGAGACTGACAATTTGTAAATTGTGAATTAGTTTGCAGGAATTTGCTAGGGGTATCTAAGGCTACGTGCATCTGTGTGTGTAGATTGTTGGCAGAATAATCCCTCAGTCTAGATGGTCGAAGTCAATCTTAATTGTGATGGAGACATGTGGAGTGAGAGTGGCAGGATTAATGTTGTGCTTCAAGATTGAATGTCACGATGGTGGGAGGGGGCGAAAGGGAAAAAAAATGGAGTGTTAAGAAACTGTAAAGCTGCAGCTATTTTATGTGAAACTAGCATCTACTGAAAATTTTGTTTCACATTGTGTTGAATATGAGTTGATTACAGTTTGCAAAATAAACTAACGAAAATACATAAATATACAATAAAAATAATTATAGTGAATTATAAAATAAAATGTAAATTGAAAAAAAAAGGTTTTTGTGGATCAGTGTTTTAAAAGGAGTGGCTGTTTTTTTTTTTTTTTTTTAGATCTCTTGCTTTTTTGCAGGATAACTATACAGAGGTTACACTTTTTTAACATATGCAAAGACTTGCTATCTCTTCAGGTTGTGCCACTTTATTGAGGTGTTCCTCTAGTTGTCTTCAACTGAGGTGCAGGTGTCTATGAAAATCTCTTTTTTTAACCCTCATGGTCTGATCCTATTTTTCAACACAGTTGCAGATGATTAAATTTATTACCCCAGCTCTACACTTGGCAGAGTCAGAAAAACATGCTCCCTGTTAATAAAGGAAGCTGATATTTCCCCATGATTGACAGGTGTAGACACTGTACCTCCTAAATCTGAGAAATGAAAGTTGCCTGCATGTAAATCGCAATGCAATCAACTGACAATGACTGTACAATCAAGAGTGGGTTACACTTATGCAACCTTATTCAAAGACGGGACTAAACAGATTGCATTTAATTTGAACTAATCTTCCAGGTACTCGCAAAGTCTGGTTAATAACGGTTATCATAAGTGTAAACTACTGTGTGTTTTTCCAGATGCCTACCCTATCTCAGAAGTGGTGTATAAATGGACTAAAGGCCCTGGCATGTCTGTGGTAGTGGCAGAGGAAGGATCACGTCTCAACCAATACCATCTGATTGGCCACACTGTTGGTATGGAAGATATCAGCACAAGTAGAGGTAAATCACTTTCTCTGACCTAATCCCATTCATTGCAGTGAGTGTCAGTCAGTCATTTGGTGTAACATCTGTGATTCAACTTTACAGTTAGGACCAGGGTCCAAAACGTTTTGTAGTACCGGCCTAAATTGAGAAAATGTAATGCCCATAAATAATACTTACTGGCCATGGAGCTGTATTTTGTATTATTATTTTATTTTGTATTCTGTATTTTTTTAGCATATTATTATTGGTTTTATATACAACCAATTTTTTATTTGATATATACAGTATATATATATATATATATCTATATATCTATATCTATATCTATCTCTCTCTCTCTCTCTCTCTATATATATATATATATATATATATATATATAC